AATAGCAGCCTTACTTTAGTGAGGATTAGATGCATAGCCAGAAATATTCTTTGGAAACCATAAAGCTCGATAGAGATTAGTTGTTACTTGTGGTATTATAACCAAGAAAACACCTCTGATGGAGTAGGCTCCCCGGATAGTCACAGTTGATTTGAAACTGAGGGTTGCCTCAGACCTGAGGGTGCTAGCCCCGTCACACTTGCAGTCAGCTTGCATCAGGACCTGTAAATCGATCATACCCTTTGACTCACTAAAAAGCACATGAGGGAGTAAATCCAAAGAAAATCATTGAAAAGAAAAAAATTCATTGTTTTTTTAATCTCCCTGGGCAGCTTTCACTCCCAATATACTGCTTATAAATGGGTTTATTCTAAAGATGATTAACAGCTGGAATATGTTTTCCTGCGGAAAAATGTCACTAGCAATGACATTTGCACGCTGCCCAGAAAAGCCATACACCATAGTGTTATCTATTGGATATAGAAAAATAAGAAGGAAAAATACTTCTGCACACCCCGGAAGTCTCTGATCTTCTTGAATGTCTTCCTCTTCCCATCTTTCTCCCAACCATAGGCCATTATAAGCCCTCGAGGAATGGTAGTGGACACGAGAAACAAAATTAGTTTGACATATCACAAATTTTATCTTAAATTTCAGTGACCATTTAAGGAAAAGGGAGTTTGTTTAGGAGGTTGGGAAGAAGGATACTTAATTGGATTATTTACCTTTCTTCAGGACACTTAATACTTTGATTCATATGTGAAAAGGATACAGCTTGATTTATTATATTTCATTAGTCATGCCCTAAATATATATATATAAAACAAATATATATTGAACAGAAACATTGGAATTCTGAAGGAAATGTCCCCACTTACATTCACTAGACCATAATAGAAAGCTTGTTTTTAGTTCTTAGGGCTGGATCTTTTTTATTTTTATTTTTGAGATGGAGCCTTGCCCCACCAAGGCTGGAGTGCAGGGGTGCAATCTCGGCTCACTGCAACCTCCGCCTCCTGGGTTCAAGCGATTTTCCTGCCTCGGCCTCCCGGGTAGCTGGGACTACAGGCGCGTGCCACCACGCCCAGCTAATTTTTTGTGTTTTTAGCAGAGATGGAGTTTCGCCATGTTGGCCAGGCTAGTCTTGAACTCCTAGCCTCAAGTGATCCACCCACCTCAGCCTCCCAAAGTGCTGCAATTACATGCATGAGTCACCGTGCCCAGCTTTGTATTTTCTTATGTAGGCCTAAAAGCCTCTGAAATGTCATTTCTTGGATTCTACAAAACATGAGTCTGAATTTTTTTGAATGAAAACACAAGTTCCATGTAGTGATATAAAACAGCACATAACAAAGGTTTTTCACCGATGTTGTTATTCACTCTGCCCGTTTGCTGCTCAGCCATGATTAAGTGCGTTGCATACTGCTTATAACAGAGAGGCAGAGGGAAAAGATAAACCCCAGGCCTGAGAGACAGACTTGCTGAGATAACTGAGCAAGGGCTGGCAGAAAGGAGAGGAGCAGGCGGTCATTAAAGAAAACCATCGTCTTTGGGGTTTGGGGATTGGCATGGGGCATATAACCCGATGTGTGACAGGTGAGGAGTTCAGGCAATGTGGCCAAGTGACTGGCTTCCTCATCCAGCTGGTCTGTGGCTGAGCTGGGACTACAGCCAAGTTTCCACACTCTCTGTTTAAATACCTAAGAGAAAGAGATCACGCTGCACGGAATGAGTTGACCTAAGAGGAGCGAAAGAGATAAACAAAGGATCTTTGTTCCTGATTTCCCTGAAGGAAGCCAAGTGCAATAGGGAGATGTAGGGTCTGACACATGCCCAGAGTAGCCAGCAGGTGGCACCATCGGTCCTGTGAGAGGCAAGTGGGACGCAGCCTGTGCAAGCCTGGTGCTCTGGTGCTCCCCTTCCCGGGGACAGTCCTGAGTTGCTGCGTTACACGGAAGACACCCCTCAATAAAAATATTTCTAAAATGGTAAAAATCAGACCCTGATCTCTTTAGAACATGTTTTTAGGAAAAAGAGACTTTTCTGATGAACTTGCCTGTCATTCTGTTATCTTTTGCAGGATGGTTCTTTATTTCACGAACAGTCCAAGAAATGTGTCCAGGCTGCGAGGAAGGAGTCGAGTGACGGTTTTGTTCCACTCTTACGAGACTGCACCAACTCGGATCATCAGAAATGGTTCTTCAAGGAGCGCATGTTATGAAGCCTTGTGTATCAAGGAGCCCATCGTAGGAGACTGTGGAGCCAGGACTCTGCCCAACAGAGACTTAGCTAAGCAGTGACCAGAGCCCTCCAAAAACTAGGCTGCTCTGCTTTGAGGAGGGAATCATTTTGCCGTTTGTAAAAGTTGTGTTCCATTTAGTAAAAATGTGAATAAGCTTTGTACTTATTTTGAAAACTTTTTAAATGTTCCAAATACCCTATTTTCAAAGGGTAATCATAAGATGTTAACCCTTGGTATTTAGAAAATTAAAACCTTATAATATTTTTCTATCAAGATGTATATTTTACAGTCAAGCCTTTTACTTTCATTAGCAAAAGGTAAAGATTTTATTTTGATATTTCCAAGAATTCCCAGGTAAGAAGATATCTGCATGGGTGGAAACCGGGTTCAAACAATGTACTTTGCATTAACTGATAATATCTCAGCTGTGGGGTTAAAGTTTTCCCGGTATAGAGAGACTGACACTAGAAACACTGTATTGGTTTATTCAGGTCATTGAGATCTTCTAGATGTATTTTTAAAAGAATGCTTTTTGGTTATGTGTTGCTACCACAGTTAACACTCCATAATGTTCATGTCAGCCAAAGAGGACTAATCAAAGCTGAAATCTCAAAGAACAATTTGCTTTACTAAGCTAAGTAAACTTGAGAGGGGAACTTCTAACAATGCCTCACTGTAGTGTGGTTGGTTGCCTTTAGCAACTACCACTATGACTTTAAAACATGTTTATACCATTTTTAATTTTTATCAGACAGTAGTGTCAGGGAGAAGTGTAATGTTCTATATGAAATTCCTTTTACAAGTTTGTTCATTAATGACATTTAGTAATTTAAATCAGCGTTCGACTTTGTGCTGCCGCAACTGCTGTGAAAATTTCTTTGAGTAATTCTGATTTGTGAATGATCCCAGATCAACCCTGAGATTTTGTAAACCTGATTAAGTCAATATGAATGATTAAAAAGATGTGAGAACACTGCAAATCTTTGTTTTTGTACTGTAAACCAAAAATAAAATTCTAGGGCCAGGTGCAGTGGCTCATGCCTATAATCCCAGCACTTTGGGAGGCGAAGGAGGGCAGATCACTTGAGGTCAGGAGTTTGAGACCAGCCTGGTCAACGTGGTGAAACCCCGTCTCTACTAAAAATACAAAAATTAGCTGGGCGTGGTGGCGGGCGCCTGTAATCCCAGCTACTCAGGAGGCTGAGGCAGGAGAATCGCCTGAATCCAGGAGGCAGAGGTTGCAGTGAGCCGAGATCGCACCACTCTACTCCAGCCTGGGCGACAGAGCCAGACTTTGTCTCAAAAAATAAAAAATAAAATTCTAGGGTCCCCCATCTGATTGAATGGACTCCTCTCTTGGCCAAGAAGATCCCCTAAAACCCTGAAAAACTAGTTCAGGCCATGATGAGAAGGGGGCAGTATCCAGACAAGCCTCATTACCCTCTCCTCCCTTTGGAGTTTAAAGACAGCTGACTGGCATTCACGTTAAAACACAGCTCTTAAGATGGACAAGACTCTTTGTAGCAATACATACCAAATTCCAACCTGACTCTGGTATAACATCCTATGACCCTGAAGGAAATCCAAGTATTTTACCCCAAAATATATTTCTTTAACATATTCTGAAATGGCCCTGCAAAGCTGTCTCTTGCCAGCGGGAGTGGGACGGGGCTG